CGACATCAGCCGTATGAGCTTCATCTCGTACAAAATCGGATTGGCTCCCAAAACTACGAAAAGTTGCTCTTAAATCGGACACATGGCCGAAAGGAATTTTGTTCCGTGAATTTGAGACGGTTGAAAAAACATGTGGATGCCTCGTTTGACCACGCCTGCTATCACGATCTCTCCTGTTCCGGGACCTTTCGAGTTCTCAACTCCCATCTCCGGGCTAGACCCAGCATGCTGATTCAGAATCGGATGCCGCGTTGTGAATTGGAACGCTGTAAATCAGAACCCACTGCCGCAAGTCGTTCTATTTCCTGGCATCAGAGTTGTTCGGGACCTGCGGTCGAATTCGGTAGTGGGGTCTCCCAACCATCGTCTTCAGGCAAGTATGCATACATTACTTACTGTAATTTTCCTGATCAGCTTCCGTGTTCCAGTGCAACGCCTCAAGCATCTGCCGGCTGTTTCCAGTTGAGAAGCACTCTGATACTGCTCATTCATAACATCCGATTTACTGTCCGAACAATCCTAATTCATCTTCGGGACGCTCAATAGACCGCTTTTTGGAAGCTCCTGGTTCCTCCAGCCCATTCGTGCCGATTCCTGCCAGCGCTCAGCATAGTCGTCCTGGATCTGTGGCTGGATATGAATCAGGAGTCTTCCACCTTGCTTCTACAGGCAAATACAATCAATATATAGACTATTCACTGCCTGATACCGATCAAATTTCAGCAATTCGGACTATGTTAGTCATTGTGATGATGCCTCTGTAACGCCCAACCCGGAACGCGCCGTAGAAAGCCCCCAATCCCTCCATGCCAGTCTTACTATCAGCAGCTTTCGTTCATCATAGTCGTTCCGGACCTGCTGTTGGATGTGGAGAGGGGGTCTTCCAACCCACTTTTTTTTTTCCTCTGTTCGGGACATAACACTACTGCGACCAGTAATTTGATCTATTGCAGTATATCCAGTGTCCTTAGTTTAGTGCATGTTGTATTACTCCATCACTATTGAGAAATGATGAAGTATTCGGTTTTGATACAGTTGTCATTCTTGCTTTCATCGCAAGGAATCGATTCTAATTGAAAGGTCCCGCTATTTATACCCTTCGGAGTGTTGGAACACCCTACAAAGGCGCGTCCCTTTGTCAGTCTCAAAGCTATGACACCGATAATGACCATGCATCCGAACCCTTAACCATTTCAAACTAGGGAACAACGATTAGAAGATTTGGAATCACATAGGTGAAGACTAACTAATTTATTTTTTTCTTGTTTCAAGATCATCCTCGGTCCAGGCAACCCAAGGACTTATCACTATCAACAGGGCATTAAAAGTAACAAGGACTAAGATGTGTTGTTACGATGTAATTGTCCTGTGCGAAACGTGGCTCGATTCTCGAACGCCTTCCAGTCAAATCTTCGGTCTTGACTACGAGGTTTTTCATTGTGATCAGAATCCTAGCAACAGCTGTAAATCTACTAGTGGAGGTGTCCTTGTAGCTGTCCGAGGCGGGTTGGAGGCAAAGGTCATCGAGAATGATTCATGGAACTATTTGGAGCAGATTTGGACAGTCATCAATCTGGATGATTGCACACTACTTCCATGCGCTCTGCGGTCAGCACTCAGGACAGGGCTCCAATAATTGCCTCGGCTTCTTGTGCACTAACTAAGCTAGTTCCACATCACCCTCCTCTAATTGTCACTGTTGAGGACAAACTTGTGCGTGATTTAGACGATTGCTAGCTTGTTAATTCCGCTTCATCGTCTGTTCCGCATGTCCTGCTGGAAATTTGCGCACGTTTCCCGTCCACAAAAAGGGAAGCAAATGAGATAGTTATCGAGGAATTACACTGTTAAGTGCCGTTTCGAAGCTATTCGAGCTAGTGATTATGGAACCGTTGCTGTCCCATTGCAAGCAGTATTTGAGTGCTGATCAACATGCCGGCCGCTCTACAAATCCTCCGCTATTACGTTCTCACGAAAACAGCAACCGATAATATTTAGCGATGACCTGCTTGGCACGCCAACACATTGCATATTGCATATGTTGTCGATAAGGCGTCTAGAACTTCCTCATGTCTCCTGTCTAAAATCTCTCTATTGTGCGCTTGTTCGATCGACGCTTGTTCAGCGGTTTGGAACCCAAACTACAACAACAGTGCCGAGATAATCGAATCTGTTCAACGTCGCATTCTTCATTTTGCGCTACGTAGATTGCCTTGGACTGATCCGTTTCGAGTACCCAGTTACGAAAGCCGTTGTCAACTTATCGACCTAGAACCTCTTCGGACTAGAAAGGGACCCAAGCAGAGCCCCAACCATTTCCAATATCCTGCAGGGATGGACAGATTAAGAGGCTATCCTGAGGTAAATTGATCTGAATGTTCAACCCCGACCGCTTCGTAACAACCTCATGCTAAGGCTGTCTCTACGTCGCACAAATTATGGAGCATACGTTGCGATTTGCGGGCTGCAGAGTGTTTAACAGCGTTGCAATATAGTCGCTATATTCATAGTCTGGCGGATAGAATTTAGATCTATCAAAAAGCGGAACCAATTCAATATATTTTAGACCAACAATTGTGAAAGGTACTATCAACTTTTATAAACAAAACGTTGATTATTCTGTCCTCGCCAATCGAACGCAAATTACCAGCATCATCGGATAAGGGAAACTTTCCCCAACCCAAAGATGGTGTTAATTTGCGTAGGCGAGCCTTGAGTCACCAGAAAAGGGTTTCCGAAGTTTTGTTCGCAATCGCTGATGTTCTCTTTTCTGTTGTTGGTCTTGATTTGTTCGATTTGTTCCGCTATTTGACAGTTCAGTTGGTTCCCGAGATTCTATCCGCCAGACTATGAATATAGCGACTATGCGTTGCATATGTCTTCGACTTTCATCTCACCCGTGATGCGCGTCGTCGAAATTTTGTCTTCCTGTCGGCAGGAGTAATTGACTATAAGATTCAAATCCTCGAATGCTCTGAAGAGAATTCTCAAAAAAAAAATTTATTCTTACTAGAATTCCACAATAATTATGGGATTTATAATTCTGCAGAAATTGAAGGGAGAACTTCAGTGAAGTCTAATATGAATTTCAATACAGTTCTGAGTAAAATTCTAGGGAAATTGTGACGAGTATTCGGTGCAAGTAATTCTGAGCAGTTCTGAGTTCGTAGGAGAATTCAAAACAAATTTCGTGGAGCATTCCTATGCAATGCCTAGTAGAATTTCAAGGCAAATCAAACGAGAATAGTATTAAAATCCAGTGGAGAATTTCGGCAAGAGTCCCGGAGTTAATTATAACATTGGTTAGAAATTTGAAAAGAACTTTAGATATAATTTCGAAAGATACCTGCAAGGAAATCCTACAGTACTGTGCAGAAAATGAAGGGAATACAAGACCGAGAGACAGTTTTCAGATGGACTGTATAGAGGAAATCCATAGCTTGTATGTTGTAATTTATGAAAAAAATGACAAATGTTTTGAATCATCGATACAGAAAAAAATCAAGATTTGAAAAATTAATTAAATTAAAAATCTTCTGATTATTCTTCAATGTTCAAACTTAGAAGAGCTTTCTAGATCCCGGAATGAGATTTTTTAAGACTCTGAAACTTTAAATATTTTAAGATTCAAAACTTAAATGCCGGACGATTTAACATTGATAATGCAATGTTAAGTTGCGATATAAAGTATAAAAAATATCATATATTACAATTCTTCGAAACAAACAAAGAAAATGAACACTTTATTTGAACTTTGCGAGCTTAGCGTTCAAAAACCTACTTAAAATAATGATACTTGTTCTACTTAGTTGTATATTTCTATAAATAAATTACAGCAACAATTACAACTACGTTATAACATATTTTTGAGTGGGTTTTAAAATAATTACCACCTGAGAACACCGTCAAAACCATCAATCAAAACTTTTACGTGAAAATATGCTACGCTACATTACCCCGAACTCACTGCACAGGACGCCATCATCCCGAATGTGACAAGAGCAAGCAGCAATCAAAAGGCAAAATTTCATTCGACGAAGTGGCTATTCGAACGGCGTCCGGAAGAAGTGACATCCGCGGTAACGACTAGCAAATCAATCTTGCATCGCGCTTCATCTTTTTGCATGAAATCTTCAATCTATCTACTCAGCATGCGCGCAGCTTAGCACAGCATAGCGGAATTTTTCCTAAATCAAAGATACAGTCATTTGAAAAGGGCGGATTGTTTTTCGTTTTTTATGCAGAATTCCAACAAAAATATGATTAGACCTACACACATACGGTCAATGAGTGTATACTGTTGAAAATTGTCTGAATTTTCATTAAAAAAGATGTACACTTGTATATAAAGATATCTCTGAACCTACCAGCAATAATCAGAAGAACAAAATTTCAAATTGAATTATCGTTGTGAACATAGTGTTATGCTGTGAAATTGCGACATCCATTGTATCATAACGTTTTGTATTTTTGCTGAACACGATTAGTCCTTCTCCAGATTTGTTCAGGCTAGAGCAAATTTTTGAGGGAAAGAATGAAGTCTATGCCTGTAGGTAACTAATAAATACCTAGATTGAAATTATTTCAGGTCAAAACTTATTACTACCGAATGTTGTAGAACAGAAAGATGCAACGTTAGCTGACATTGGATTAAAAAAAATCACTGCAACCAAGCAGAATGGGGCTGGGCACAGACGGTGCGACAGAGCCATCGAGAGCATCGACATTTAGAAGGTAGACCGATACCTTACGACTCACTCACTTCCGTCCGTAATGTGTTTGAGAATATGAATCGTCTTTCTTCTCGCCAGCCACAGACAGAAGAAACGTCAGATTTTTCGTTTCATCTTTTTTTCCTCGTGTGCTTTCTTTCCACCCAATGCCTATAATTGCTGCCGTATTATCGATCTCCCAGAGAATAATGCGGGGACAACCAACTAGAAGTCACTGACTGGATTCCTTACCACATGATATACTTCGCAAAATAATCCAATAAGTACCTGATAGATCCTTTGATGGTCCCATCGCTGACAACCGTGGCTGCAGTACCAGCTTCGACGAACAGACGTTGTTATCCGATAAGGAAAATTTCAAGCTTTTACATATTTTGGGGAGCGCCTCTCGAGATGACGTTTCGTGCTTTCCTACACCAGACACCACGATCCACACAGAACTTGTGCACTCTTGGGTAACAGGAAACTTTCCTTGCGGCGAACCACCGCTGCCCGGAGGCAGTCCCTGGAAGTCTCTGCTTTTTGGCAGTCTTGGCCACTGGGCTACTCTAGACTTTCTTCCCTTTCGTTCGATCGGTTCACTTGCCCGTCGTCGGAGCACAAAATGGCGATTGCACACAAAAAATATATACCAAATACACACCACTTCACACTAGTGTTCACAAGGCGAAAGGAGTGAGCTGAGGGCTACTCATACTGCGCTCACAGTGGGCGATAGACGTGATTCCGTCTGGAACCCCCCGAAAAGGACTGCTTTTCCTCCTTTACGGCCAGTCTGCTTGCAGATTGTGTGAAGTACTTTTCTTCCGGAACACCAAAGATACTGATCCTATGAATGAATTTCTCTTCTAATACATTCGATTCACCAAAACAGCAGATTACAGCACACACTCTCCTACACTAGGATGGGCGAATTATTGAATCAGTAAAGCGAAAATAAAATCACTACATATTCTTCAATTTTCGCATTTCACACACACACGGGAGCGAAAATTCGAAACTTCAAAAAACCAATGCAGCAACAGCAGACCTTGCCTTCATTCGCTCGCTCTGATGATAGCTGATGGGGAGGGCCAGAGTGCGTGAATCAATCGCCAGACATTTTTTTCTTTCTTCCGTTGTACGATTTTTCATCCAGTAGCCAGGCTGATTGCAGCAACACTCCCGTACCGATTATTCCCGGCGAAAATAGCACTCCAGCTTCCCGTCGGATACGGGAATAACCGTAATCGCGAATAATTTTCTCCGAAGCCACCAACGCCGAAGCTTTTCACTTAAATTTTCGCACACGGACAGACAAGGAACGCGACGACGACGACTGCAAAATTTCAACTCCACTCTCTTTGGCTGACTGCTGGCTACCTGACCTGCCTGATGATGATGTCTCTAGCTGATGATCACTGCTCATGAATGAGCCATGAACAGTCTGCTCACTCTCTCACAGCGCGACAAAAGTTCATTCATAATTGTTTGACCAGGGATGGATCTATGGGAAAGAATGGACGGCATTGAGGCTGTGTTGTTGGTGGTGAATTTTCACTTAAATTTCATACTTCGAAAATAAATTAAAGTGTTCGAAAATCCCTCTGTTGTTAATCGTCTGATTTTGGAGAACGTACGCGGTAAGAAAAAAGTACCAAAAAGTAAGTTATTTTCATTCATCTCAGCACTATCACAAACGAAGTGACAGACGATTAACTGGCGAAGAAATCAATTAAAATGATGTGGTTCGCAGTAATAGAATTTTCTTAGAAGCTTGTGCCATCAGCCAAAAGATAGACTAGTATTTTTGTTTTGATTTGAACTAAGTTGATTTTGTGTACAATGATCTTTGACAGTGTGCAAAGAGTGTATCATTTTGTCATTTTTAGCAAGCTATGTGAGCAAGCTATGGACTTGCTATTGGTCCCAAGCAAACGATTAACGTACCCTATTCTAGTTTAAATTCTATTACTACACTATGTTTGTTTTGATTCGCTATGAAAGTTTGACAGATAAAATGAGGGGTTAGTGGATTTTCCCTTGTTTCAAGGGGTGAATCGATTAGCTTGGGACCGAAGAGAGTACCAGAGCTGAGCCAAAAAGTTGAGCACGTTTCTTCGGGACCTTCTTGTCTTAGAGTTACCTCTATGCAGGGTGGCCACCCGCATAAACGCGAACCATAAATTGACCTTACCTAAAATGGTTAAAAATTGTTTATAATCCCTGCTAAACTTTAACTGAAATGGTTATGGAACTTTACATGAACGTTTAATGATAAAGTTTCAACCTTATGTATAATGGTTTTTTGGAACTGGATCTTACAAATAATGGGTTGTTAAGAACCATTACCGTTCCAAATTCTTGTTTTCTCCATACATGTTCGGAAAGAGAACTATATTAGAACCTTTTAACTTATGGTTTGAGAACTTTAATGGTAATGGTTATGGTAGTCAGTAAGGTCCACGAATGGTTTTGTAACATCGATCAACTTTATGTGGAATATATCGCGGATTGGTTGCCTGTAATTTACTGATTACCAATTCACGATATATTCCACGTAAAGTTGAGCGATAATACAAAACCATTAATGGACCTTACTGACTACCATAACCATTACCATTAATGTTCTCAAATCATAAGTAAAAACGTTCTTATATAGTTCTCTTTCTGAAAATGTATGGAGAAAACAAGAATTTGGAATGGTAATGGTTCTTAACAACCCATTATTTGTAAGGTCCAGTTCCAAAAAACCATTAAAGAGCCTGAATTTATAAAGAGGCGACATCTTATCTATTTGACAGGTCTTCTGTTCGATTGGAATGACTTTTCCTATGACTTTGACAGACAATCGATTGTTCCAATTTTGACATGTCGTCTCTTTATAAATTCAGGCTCTTTAAAAACCATAATACATAAGGTTGAAACTTTATCATTAAACGTTCATGTAAAGTTCCATAACCATTTCAGTTAAAGTTTAGCAGGGATTATAAACAATTTTTAACCATTTTAGGTAAGGTCAATTTATGGTTCGCGTTTATGCGGGCAGTGAATTTTCATTTTGAAAATCCCGGTTTTTTCCCGGTTTTCCCGGTTCAAATCTTAAAAATTCCCGGTTGTTAATATGCAAAAAAAAAACAAAATTTACTGATAGGATAAAAAAAATGTGATTTAAGAAGATTCCCAAGATTCTGGAGCTTTGAAATTTGTGTAGAGTCTGAAACTAGAACTTTTCTTCAAAATTTGTGATTAATAACATGCTTCGTGATGCAAGATTTGGAGAAACAATAATTAAAATGTGAAATTTTGAATTTTTTTTCAAGATCACAGATTTATAAAAAAAAACATCATACTTATGAGTCGTGGAGTCATAATTGTCACGCTCTGAGACTTGGAAGCATTTTAAGGGTAATAAAAAATTACATAGCAATCTGTAGAATCTGGCGGACAAACCCTGGAATTTTTAGTAAAATTTAAAAGAATTCAAAGTGTTGATTAAAAACAAATATTGAGAAGGATTCCCTTACAGTTTTCGAAGGAGAAGAGCAGATTTCCAGAATTATTCTTAGAATTATTTATGAAATCCATAGAAATTGTTAGATGAATTTGGAAGGATTTCTTTGGAGAAGAATGCAAGTTCTAAATTAAACTGTTAGGTAATTTTAGTAGATTTAAAAAAGAATTGTGAAAATAAAAATAAAACATTGCAGAAAATTCCTACGTGGTTCTGATGGGATTTAAATGGGCATCGTGAGGAACATGACAGATGAATTTTAAGAAGAATTCCAAGAGAATTATGATCGGAATTCAACAAGTAACAGAGTTCTTAAAATGTTCTGGCAATAATTTTAACCCTAGTGCGAATGATTCATCACATAACCCAAACAAAATTGATTCCAAAAAATTTGCTGATAATTAGAAAGAAATTCTTTAAAATACTCCAAGGGGTTTATAAATTAATTTTCGAAAGATTTCTTTTGTTTTGAATAGAGTTAAAAGAAATGTTTGAAAAGATTTTTAAAGGAATCAAAGTCTCCGGATAGGCGGGAACGGGAATTATATGAAGGATTCTAATAAATTCTTAGAAGGGGTTGGATGAAAATTCCTAAAAGAATTCAACGGTAATTATTACGCGGAGTGTTTTCTGGTTTATTTCAGAACAATTTCAAGATAATTCAGAGCAGAATTCCAAGTTAATTCTGGAATTCATCATGAGAATTTTGAACAACGAAAAATTAAAACCCCGGAAAAGAATAATTCAGTTTCGGTTTTTACAAATATTTGTTTCCAAACTCCAGCATCTTCAATATTTTCTTTAGAGGACCATGCACTTTGCATCTGAAATTGAAACGACAAAAATCAATTTGCAATATTGCTGAGTGATTAAATTCTAAAAACAATAAGACGGTATACTGAAGAAAATTATGCAACAAATAGAGCAAGACATTCATTTGCTAAAGGATCACTCTGTTTTAATGGTTTATTCTGAAATTCTGATGTATAAATTTGTTCCTATGATATGGTTAATTTATTTTCCCGGTTCTCTTGCAGAATTCACGGGTTTTTCCCGGTTTTCCCGGTTACTTTCCAAATTCCCGGATATTTCCCGGTATTCGCGGATTTCCCGGTTTGCTGGCCACCCTGTCTATGGTACAATCCAGTAGTAGCATGTAGTAGTGTTGCCTTGTGGTACTCTGAAAAAATGCAATAGCAGGCTCGTCACCAAAGTTTTCGAGCCGCTCCATCTGTCACTTCGTTTGTGGTTATATCAACAACAACAACGTTTGTGTGATAAAGTTTTAACCTTATGTATTATGATTTTTTTTGGAAATGAACCTTACAAATAATGGGTTGTTAAGAATCATTACCACCGACAAACCGACATGAATGACCACAGCAAAAACAATAAAATTTCTGACCAAAGCACAGCACTGACATCTGGCTCCGTGTTCGTGGGAAATATTTAGCTAAGTCATGAACCCGCATGCAAAAGTTATGAATTGGTTCGTGTCTGATCTATTCTGGACAAATTATGTTTATCTAGATCAAAAAATCCTATGGTTTTGACAGTTCGGATCACTGCACATTTAAATCGGCCGTTTTCGGACATAAGTAAGCATTAAGGCTGTGAACCATTTGCCGAGTTAAATTTAACTCGTGGTTAAAAGTGACATTTCGAAAGTTATTTTCTATGTTCGAAAATCCCCGTGCTGTCGATCGACCGGTTTTCGAGCCAAGGTTGTCAAAATTTAACTTCTTGTCTGTCAGAAATAACCACGCTCGGATAGCAGGGTTAATCAATAACTTTCCATCTGTCAAATTTTAATAAAAAGTTTAAAAAATCCACCAAATGGTTCAGAGCCTAAGTGTCATGTCGGTTTGTCGGTGCCATTACCATTCCAAATTTTGGTTTTCTTCATACATTTTTGGGAAAGGAATTATATTGGAACCATTTTATTTATGATTTGAGAACTTTAATGGTAATGGTTATGGTAGTCGGTAAGGTCTATAGATGGTTTTGTAACATCGACCACCTTTATGTGGAATATATTGCGAATTGGTTGCCTGTAAATGACTGATTACCAATTCGCTATACATTAACGTAAAGTTGACCGATAATACAAAACCACAGACTAACAGACATAACACATAGAATATTTCGCACTGTAAAACATCGTCGCTAAAACATTACCGCCATCTGTTTAGTACAGTGTGGTGGGTAGTACCATAGAGGTAACTCTAAGACAAGTAGGTCCCGAAGAAACGTGCTCAACTTTTTGGCTCACCTCTGGTACTATCTTCGGTCCCAAGATTGTCGAATCACCCCTCGAAACATAGGAAAAACCAATAACCCCTCATTTTATCTGTCAAACTTTCATAGCGAATCGAAACAAACATTGCGTAGTACTAGAATTTCGACTAGAATAGGGTACGTTAATCGTTTGCTTGGGACCAATAGGCTACTAAAGTGGTGAGCCAATTTAAAATCGTTAGTTTCGTATTGATTGTTGGTAGTACGCTGAACAGATGGCGGTAGTGTGTAAATGTCAAACGCAAGGGAATTGACTATACGCGCCACAGTTGGTGGTTCTACCAACTACGATACTTTTAAATTGACCGTTAAATCACAGACAAACATTGCATATTTATCACTCGTCATCGTCGCTTAAACATTACCGCCATCTGTTGAATACACTGTGTTGGGAAGTGCGCTGAACACATCAGGCATAACATTTGATAACGGCACAAAAGCATTTGTAAACAAACTTTTTAAGGCCCTTTACACGCGAACCAAAGTACGCGCACGCAAACCAATACCACTTTCGGAAAGGTGATAGTTGCCCCTATCCGATGATGTTGTTGGCACAGACAAACAGACATAACCATCATAAGTTGTTCATCGAGCAATCATTTAACGGTCAATTTGAAAGTATCTCAGTTGGTAGTACTGCCACCTGTGGCACGCATAGTAAATTCTCTTGCATTTGACGTTTACACACTACCGCCATCTGTTCAGCGTACTACCCACCACAGTGTACTCAACAGATGGCGGTAATGTTTTAGCGACGATGTTTTATAATGAGAAATATTCAATGTGTTATGTCTGTTTGTCTGTGTTGTTAATTTGCCTGGGCGTACTTTGGTTCGCGGGTAAAGGGCCTTAAAAAGTTTGTTTACAAATGCTTTTGTGCCGTTATCGAATGTTATGCCTGAGATGGCCGTAGTGTGTAAACGTCAAACACAAGGCAATTGATTATGCGCGCCACAGGTGGCGGTACTACCAACAATCAATACGAAACTAACGATTTTAAATTGGCTCACCACTTTAGTAGCCTATTGGTCCCAAGCAAACGATTAACGTACCCTATTCTAGTTGAAATTCTATTACTACACTATGTTTGTTTTGATTCGCTATGAAAGTTTGACAGATAACATCAGGGGTGTGTGGATTCATGCAGAACATGCAGGGGTGAGTGAAATAGCTTGGGACTGCTTGGGACCGTTGTTCTGGTACTGAGTGAGCCAAAAATAATAATGATTTTCTTCGGGACCCAGTGGTCTTAGAGTTACCTCTATCACAGACAAACAGACATAACACTCGCAAGTTGTTCATCGAACAAGCATTTAACGGTCAATTTAAAAGTATCGTAGTTGGTAGTATCGCCACCTGTGGCGCGCATAGTCAATTCCCTTGCATTTGACGTTTACACACTACTGCCATCTGTTCAGCGTACTACCCACCACAGTGTATTCAACAGATGGCGGTAATGTTTTTGCGACGATGTTTTACAGCGAGAAATATTCAATGTGTTATGTCTGTTTGTCTGTGCCTCTATGGTACTACCAACTACGATACTTTTAAATTTACCGTTAAATGCTTGTTCGATTAACAACTTGCGAGTGTTATGTCTGTTTGTCTGTGACAAAGCCATTAAAACGCTGGTCAGACTACAGAGTTATAACATGTTATAACGGTTGTCAAATAATTGCAACACAGAAACCACCATCAAGATAGCGCTATAACATGTTATAACTCTGTAGTCTGAACGTACTATAAAACGCTGTACAGACTGGAGAGTTATAACATGTTATAACGGTTGTCAAATAATTGCAACACAGAAACCACCATCAAGATAGCGCTATAACATGTTATAACTCTGTAGTCTGAACGTACTATAATGGACCAACTGACTACCATAACCATTACCATTAAAGTTCTCAAACCATAAGTAAAAAGGTTCTAATATAGTCCCCTCTCCGAAAAGGCATGGAGAAAACAACTTTTTTGAATGATAATGGTTCTTAACAACCCATTATTTGTAAGGTTCACTTTCAAAAAAGCATAATATCACATAATAATACATAAGGTAAAAACTTTATCACACACACGTTCATGTACATCGAAAAATGCGGGTCTGACTCTGGTAAACAGTACCACGGTACCACTGAAATGTCAGTGAGTTCATTAGTGACGTCACGATGCAGAACCTAACTCACGCTGATGAATGACCTCTACTCACGCCTCGTTCAATCATTCTCAGCAATCATTTTCTTGTTTTGACTTTTGGACATCACCGAACTCACCAGTAAAACTCCAAAATCTGTGTGGATGTCAACATTATTTTATCTAGATCAGCTCGACAGGGCGAGAGGCTACCAGATTCAAAGGATTATATAAATAAACGAACTACAAAATGCTGACCAGACTGCCTCGACCTCGGGCTCGACCCTGATAAACAAATACCGTAAACTAACAATAACCCAAATGGTAAACCCATTCCATACATTGCTTGGATGATACCACGAATACGTCGTTCAGCACTTTGTTATAGTTATTTCTATTAGGTCGATCACTTTCAATTTTCAAGTTATTTTGCATGAAAAATATTAATTTTCTTGCCTTTGTTTACATCCCCTCAACACCGCTCAAAAATTGGCGCCTTTCTCCAGAGCAAAATTTAGAACTCGTTCGTGGCTTTCTCATTATATTTTACAATATCTTGATTGAGCCAAAAAAATCTGTATACCCTAATACAAATTGTATGGTTATTTTGCTTAACCTTGTTCAGGGTATCATTCAAACCATTTTTGTGGAATAGTTTTATAATTGAGTTATCATTCGGGTATGGTATTTTTATTAATGTATGGTTTGAAATGTAAGAAACTGATCAATATGATGTCAAACGGTCGAATATGCTTCTATTCTTTACCCCTGACCAGTTTATTTTGATGTTTAAGTTTTCTTTGTTGATGATGTTTATGTATACAATCATTAGTGATTATTACAATGATTTAATCATACTTTTTCATTGGTATGATTAAATTAGGCCAGCCTTAAGAAACACTTTGTGATAAACTTTACAAATTTGATTTAAGGATAAAATGTTAAGTATTGATCCTAACTTTATCTTATCTGTCGAACAAATCTGTTAAAGAGACGGCCCAAACGCAATGTGGGCGGAAGCGGAACGGAAACGGAAAGTTTGACAGTTGTCATAAATGACATCAAGATGTCTAACCGAAGTCGATTTGATACTAACTAGCTTTCAATCCGACAAATCTAGATAGAGCTGGAATTAGGGCGTTACAGCTTTTGTAAACATTGACTTCTATCGATGATTTCTAGGAACTCAAGACATGCCCACGCAGACGAATACAACCATCGGAAAGGGGAAGTCTTTCCCTACCCGATAAGGATGTTGGTTTGCGTGAGCGAGCCTTGAATTTCTAGAAATCATCGATAGAAGTCATTGTTTACAAAAGCTGTTAGGCCCTAATTCCAGCTCTATCTAGAAATACGCTTACTCAGATTGGGCCGCTTCCGCTGTCATTGCGCTTGGGCCTTTAAGGCTGGCACACAATGTATAAGTTTCCGGGTTTTTTGACAGATAATGCATGTTATAACTCTCCAGTCTGGACATCGTTTGAGATTTTGGCAACAAAACCACAAAACCGTTCTTATTTGGCACCGTGCCAAAATCGAACGGATTTTCTTCTTCATTCCTTTATTTAAAGTCGGTCTCTGTTCCGCAATCTAGTGCCTAAAGCCCTACAGTAAAAGTGTGGACGTCTGTCAAAAGTTGTTCAAATCGAACCGTCGAAATGCACCGCTTTGCTCGATTGGAACAGCTTTTTTTCAGTTTTGTGGTGACAGTCGTTCATACTTTAACTAGAGGGCTTTAGTGCCAATCACCGACGGCCACGGACATCAATTGCCATCCATTGACGGCAATCGAATGTGCAGGAAGGCAGCTTCTACACCTGCGTAGGTTATCGCACCCATTCACACATGGGCCGGGACCAACGGCTTTACTTCCCTTCCGAAGGAAGACGTGAACAGAGGTTTTTATGCCTTAGAAACCGACCTCGGCTGGGATTGAACCCAGACCCATTGGGGTAAGAAAGTAGTCTCGCATACCACAACACCACCGGCGCCGGCAAAATCGAACGGATTTTACTCCTTGTGATTACAATTCTTAATACAAGATTAACGTCCATGTCATGAAGATGACTCACGGTGGTCCAAAATCAACGAAACGTCCATGTCATGAAGATGACTCACGGTGGTCCAAAATCAACGAAACCATAAATTAAATTTCAAAATAAAACCGTTCGATTTTGGCAACACTAAATTTTTGGGCTTGTTGTTAAAATCGAACGGGTACGCCAAGTTTCATTGAATTCTTAGAAGTAAAATCTGAAATTCGATTACTTGTTCGCTATTTTGCGTCTATTTGCTCACTTGGGCTTTCAGAAAAGTCTATAATATTACCAACGTTACGACGCCCAAAATTCTGTACTAGGGCATTAGAAAAATCTATAGATGTAATATCTTCTTTATAGACTTCTCTGAATGGCTAAGTATTAGTGCAAAACTTTGGGTGTCTCTATCTGCCGCTATTCGCATAACAGTCCTATGTAGGAACAGGAAATCCATAGAACATGGGACTATTATGCGAAAAGCGGCAGCTAAGTATAAGTTCAAAAATTATCGTACATGTACACGGTTTCTTGCACTTATACTTAGTATATAGCACTTCGTGTATAGTAATGTACATGGGCAAACACATTTACACGAAAACCGTCAGAGAAGTCTATATTACGTAGGCGTAACGTTGGGTCCAAATTATGTATATTAACTGCCCTCTAAATGCTTCAACCATGTAAGTACTTATTTTATATTGTAAACACATACTAGATAGATTACTTATCCACATTAGCTCATGTAAAATGTTTATAATAAGCTATAATAATTAAGAACAGGATCAAATGTCATCATTAAAGGCCTTAAAACATGTAATAACTACTATAACTTTTAAACCTTCTTAAAAAAAGGTAAAGCAACTCACATTAATTACTACACAAAAATATATTTCGTATAATTTTGAAACAATAATAGCCAATTGATTAGTAAAATATACAATGATCATAAAAAGCATTTCAAACTAAAAACCATGAACACGAGTCCTTCGCAGACGTCTTTCTTCGTACTAAAGATATTCAATGAAACAGATGTCCATAATTCAAACGTTTTTTTTTTCTGTTTCCTTATGGACTCTTATGGACACTTTGTTATAAATGCATTACACATATTTTTTGTTTGTTTTTTGATTTTTTTTATCGAAAACCCAATTCTGCTCCAAATGTAAATGCTTAAACATAAAAGACTCACTTTTGAGCGAAAAACTACAACTCATGACATTAACATCGGCACTGGTGGACTCAACGATAGCCGCCGTCCGCTCGTTCACCGCGACTCTCGATACGACCTAGCAACATAATTGACACCGACGCATCGAAAATCTGTCCCATCCATTTATCTGCGCTAAGAGTAACCGTGAAGTGCCTTCTATTGCGTCGGAGAGAATTCAGTCGGGATCAGAATTCGGCAATGCATCTCGCGAATCAATGGCACAGTGTAGGCTACGCATTCATCCCAACCGGGAGATCTCCAGGCCGACTCGCGGGTTTCCTTGCGCGATTGATAATCCTTGTAACCTGCGGAAAAGTCGAACTATAACAACACATTTAATAAGTACGAAATCAACACCTACACCAAATATGATGCACGTTGTACAGTCGACCAATCTGGGAGAAAAATCCGGCAAAGGCCTCGTCGTTATTCTGCCGGTAGTTGATTGCTCGGGCCCAATTGTTGCCCCACTCGATCATGGTGCCCGGCTTGAGGCGATACGAACGGATTTCGTAGATGTTCTTACCATTGCGCAGTGCCAACTGCGGCCAGTAGCTGAACGCGAGCAAGTATTGCAGATGGCGCGAACGAAGGAAAGTTCCCCGTTCCTGGGTCAGTTTGACGTAGTCCTGCAAACATTGAAGGGTCAAGAAAACACCTACACTCTACAGCGTATCTAAGAGTGTTTGAATACGAAAAATTACTTACTGGGTCGTCGTGTAGGGCCTTTTTGGTTTGATCTACCATTTCGAAACCACCGGTGTAACGCCACAGATGCAGGCACTGGTCCAGATCCCCAACGTCGACACTCCACGAGCCAATCAATTCTATGGTTAGATTTTTCTTCGATGACACAATTTCCACTGATTTCTTGCTGCAAAATGAGATCATTTGAAAATATGAGTTTTAAACCAGCCGCATCAAAGTAGATTTAAATTAAGTTTGTTTAACCCTTTCCTTCCCACGGTATCGCAGGTGATCCACAACGTTGCGCAGTTCAGGCAAATCCCGATCAGCAATTTCCCGATTTTTTTCCGGTATTTTGGAATTTTTTCCGGTTAAACGACATAAGCTTAAATTAAGCATATAAGCAAAAACGATTGAGCCGAAGGTATCACTAAATGGGACAAGTCTTTACTAATAGCGAATTCCGAAACCGAACTTTTCGTTGGTACGAACCTCAACCTGAGGCAGGTTTAAAAAACAAACGAAAAAAACGACGGCCCGATACCCGATCCACGTTGAAAGTTTTTTTTTTTTTTTTTTTTTTTTCTTTATTTTTGTGATTTTTAGCCGTAGGCTAGTTCATCACATACACGTTGAAAGTGAATAATCTAGGTTAGAACTGAATACCCGGATTCAACAATATTTGTCGAACTTTTTATGTATATTTTTAGTAGTCTTAACGATATTGAAATTCTCCTGAACACTGCCTCAAAAACACACTCATTTGGAATACTGCCAGAAATTTATTAAAATTCTCTTGTTTAAAAATTATTTCTATTTTTATTTTATTTTTTTTCTTTATTAGAGAGATTTTTAGCCGTTGGCTGGTTCATCTCAATAAAAAAAGATAAGGTTTTGACGTAGGACTACGTCTTTGATTTCTATATGAGGGTACACTTTGTGAAAAACAAAAATGGAACATGTAACAAATTAAGAAAGATTTTGAACGTAAATAAATCAGCTGCCCCTGGTCCAATTCCAATAATTTTATCACCAATCGATCAGAAATATGGCTACGCATCGATAACAATGCTTCCAAATGTTGATTTTCAACAAGAAACTATTGAAAAATTGGTAAATGTCCAGCATTTTCCAAAAGCGTCGAATTAACTAACAAATCCACCAATTACCTACATGCATATGCTGCTTCCCCAGCACAGTCGTCAGAGAGTAGTAAGTAGACGAAACAAGTCGAAGTGGCATTTGCCTCCGATCCTCGGGCGCGTGCGAATAGGGAGGATGGAATTGCTTAATATTTTGCACACTCATCGCCATACTCAGAACCACACTCTCCCAACGACCACACCACTGTGTGGTGGTGTTCGGTCGTCGAAATTAGTAGCAGCAGTAGCAGTGCTTTCGGCGTGTGGCGTTGAAAATTGTTCTCCAGTAACAACGAAAGGCTGCCTGCAAGCAGCGAGCTGCAGAGCCCACATAAGCAACCATCAAAGGAGGAAGAAGCTGCACCGCTATGCTATGGATCGGAATCAGTAGCTCTTCGTGAGTCGCTGCGGTTCGGTCATCTATGCCAAGCGTGTCACCCTCGCTTCAAACGACATACAGCTCGACAGCCTCATCCGTGTTCAACAGCTCAGAATTACTCAACCATCACTACAAAACGGTCCTTTTCAGGGCCACCAAAAATTTGTTAAAGAGTATAGTTCCCACAAGCAGCTAGCTATCAAGACTCAACCTGTCTATAGAAGGTGTGGAATTGTAGGCCTGAATATATTAGTGCAATTAGTATTTCCTCGGCTTTCATTCCGCACGATTCGTTTCTTTCGTTTAATCAATCACCCTTGTAGTGACGTCGAAAAGGTTGTTTCAGTCGGCGCTTACATACGAAATTCATGTGGATTATAGAATTTTTTGTATGTTACCAAAATTTATGAATGGTTTGCCACTAAATGTTGAGATAATTTATTGATTATTGAGTTATCACACTATATACCATGAAAAAGCAGCCTGTTTGTGAGTTTTTGCCTGTTTTCAAGTAAGGAGTTATCATAAAAAACAAATCGCCAGCTGGTATTTCCCGGCTACTTAAAAAATAAATAAAATCAAACAAAATCATCATGCAGAACAAGCTAGGATTTGTTTTACTTCATATTTCACAAAATTTCTTTCGAGTGTTAAAACATCGTATCCCGCAAAGTTTACATTTTTCCCTCTACCAACACATACATCAGGGCTAGATAGATCTCCACAGGATCTATATTTAGAATCAACGCAATTTCAAAAAACCAAAATCCACAGCATTACTAAAAGAGGTCAAGTTTCCGAGGGGGGCGACACATCTAAATCTCAAGTTGAGATGCTAAACACTCTCTCACACTAGCGAATCTATCTTCGAAAAATCTTCTTTCATTTGCCGCATCTACTTGCATCGCTCATCATCTTTTGCAGGAAATCTTCAGAATCGTCATCAATCTTCTTTCTATCTACTCAGCGTGCGCGCAGCTAAACACAGCAAAACACAATCTTTTTTGCATCGTAGATAGAGTCGTCCCCCTCGCAAGTTTCGACCAATAGCAGATAGACTTTAATTCTAAACAAGCCAAACGATTGGAAATGTATCTACCAATCTGCTAAAATGAACTCTTAGTTAATTTTCAATAAATGTCCAACTGTTGCAATGGTGATCAAAATTATCACCGAATGTCTGAAAACAGCGCATTCCCTAACACAGACTTAAAAATCGAATTCGATGCGGTCCCACTGTACGGTGCTCATTTAATCACCGTAAGTGGTGGTGTCCAGTCCAGCAGCAGCAGCAGCAGCAGCAGCAGCAGGAGTGCTTTCAACAACAACAACAACAACGAAAGGCTGCCTGCAAGCAGCGAGCTGCAGAGCTCATATGAGCAACCATAGAGAAGGAGGAAGAAGTTCCACCGCTAGGCTAGGATCGAAATCAATAGCTCGTCGTGCTCAGCTCAGCATTACTCAACCATCACTACAAAACGGTCCTTTTCAGGACCACCATAAATTTGTTAAAAGTATTATTTGGACATTTGTCAAGGTCATCAGTTCCCGCAAGCAGCTAGCTATCAAGGCTCAACCTGGTCTCTATATAAGGTGTGGAATTGTAGGCCCGAATGTATTGGTGAGATTAATCATCGTCCAACCATTATCCAGAACACACTGGTAGGAAGTGTTAAAAATCCATATAGAATTTGAGAGATGTGGGAATAATTCGCTATTCAGTCCCCAGAAAGCCAATAAAATCAAATTTGTGAGAAAATTAGCTCTCACGAGTTCAATCTCTCGAAATTCCTCCTTTTTTACATATTCTGCACAAACGATACTTTCCGCCCCCCTCCCATTCATATAATTCGGAAGGAAATCCTGTGAGGGGTGAATTGAATACACTTTAATACCAAAATGCACAAAATTTAAAAATTCATAAATAACAAAAAAATCAAAATACACCTTTTAAAGTCGGGTAGATGAATCGAAAATACTCAAGTTGACAGTCCCTTGGATTCTCTTCATCAACTTTCTGTTTGAAATAAATACTACAAATTTGATACGCTTACAAATAAAAAACGGAAAGAGTTAAGATAATTGATGATTGATCAATTAAAAGAACTAAATGTTCACATTTGTTCCGTCCACTAGCGGTCCTACGTCAAGCTTCCGTTCGTGCCCCTAGGCATAGACCCTTCTACTTTTTTTATGATAACTCCTTACTTGAAAACAGGCAAAAGCTCACAAACAGGCTGCTTTTTCATGGTATACAGTGTGATAATTCAATAATCAATAAATTATCTCAACATTTAGTGGCAAACCATTCATAAATGTTGGTAACATACAAAAAATTCTATAATCCACATTAATTTCGTATGTAAGCGCCGACTGAAACAACCTTTTCGACGTCACTACAAGGGTGATTGATTAAACGAAAGAAACGAATCGTGCGGAATGAAAGCCGAGGAAATACTAATTGCACCAATATATTCAGGCCTACAATTCCACACCTTCTATAGACAGGTTGAGTCTTGATAGCTAGCTGCTTGTGGGAACTATACTCTTTAACAAATTTTTGGTGGCCCTGAAAAGGACCGTTTTGTAGTGATGGTTGAGTAATTCTGAGCTGTTGAACACGGATGAGGCTGTCGAGCTGTATGTCGTTTGAAGCGAGGGTGACACGCTTGGCATAGATGACCGAACCGCAGCGACTCACGAAGAGCTACTGATTCCGATCCATAGCATAGCGGTGCAGCTTCTTCCTCCTTTGATGGTTGCTTATGTGGGCTCTGCAGCTCGCTGCTTGCAGGCAGCCTTTCGTTGTTACTGGAGAACAATTTTCAACGCCACACGCCGAAAGCACTGCTACTGCTGCTACTAATTTCGATGACCGAACACCACCACACAGTGGTGTGGTCGTTGGGAGAGTGTGGTTCTGAGTATGGCGATGAGTGTGCAAAATATTAAGCAATTCCAAACTCCCTATTCGCACGCGCCCGAGGATCGGAGCCAAATGCCACTTCGACTTGTTTCGTCTACTTACTACTCTCTGACGACTGTGCTGGGGAAGCAGCATATGCATGTAGGTAATTGGTGGATTTGTTTGTTAATTCGACGCTTTTGGAAAATGCTGGACATTTACCAATTTTTCAATAGTTTCTTGTTGAAAATCAACATTTGGGAGCATTGTTATCAATGCGTAGCCATATTTCTGATCGATTGGTGATAAAATTATTGAAATTGGACCAGGGGCAGCTGATTTATTTACGTTCAAAATCTTTCTTAATTTGTTACATGTTCCATTTTTGGTTTTCACAAAGTTGTTGAATTGCCGGCTGATTGCTCGAATTGGCTCGTGTTGTGTATAATTCCGGCTCCGTGGTTCCAAAAACAGAAAGTCGCGTTGACGAAGAGACCTCTCTGGGGCATACATATTTAGCTGTGACAGCAGTGTTGGACAGTCAATGTCACCCGTAAGCAGCTTTCTAGCGAACATAGCTTGAGCGACCGTCCGTCTCACATCTAATGGCTCGATTCCCAGGAGACGGCAACGCTCCTCGTACGGTGACAAGTTCGTTGGGTCACACCAGTTGAACAACTGAACTTGACTCCAATAAATATCGCACAAGCGAGCAGTAAAGTGACCTCAGGCATAGCGGGTCACGAAACTCGTCGGCAATTTTGAAAATAAAGCCCAATTGTCGATTTGCTCTGGAGATGATGTCATTGTAGTGGATTCTGAAAGTGAGTCTGCAGTCCAAGGTAACGCCGAGATCCTTTATGTGCTCTACACGAGCTAGAGAGCGTCCGTAGAGAACATAGTGAAACATGATTGGTTCGATTTTTTCGGTGATAGGAAATAATGTTACATTTTTCTATGCTTAGACTCATCAAATTTCTTGAGCACCAGTCAGCAAAAATACCTAACATATTCTGGAGATCCCAGCAGTCCGAGAGGCTTTTAATAATTTTGTAGATTTTCGTATCGTCTGCATAGAAAACGCGGCATCCTGATGATATCAGCAAGGCGACGTCGTTTAAAAAGATCGAAAATAGTAGCGGTCCTAGGTTACTGCCTTGAAACGCCATTGAATTTACTTTGGCCTACCGGATGGCTGAAGATAAAAATTGATTCGGTCAGAGCGCTTCTTTTGTTTTTGAGAAAAATGGGTGTCAACATTCATATTACGCGTTCTCATTCATCAAACGCATAATTGACTTGTTAACTCTGAAACAATGGATTTATTTGATGTTATCTGCTCAAAAGGCCCAAAATGGACGATTAGGCCGAAGTAGTGCTCTACCCTAGTCATTTTAACATTTTTGGGTCATTTGTGACTTGTCCGGGCCCGGGGATGAGATTTGAACGAGTGGCTTTGGCGTGTGAGGTATGCTACCGCTATTCAAATAACAATCCCACTCCTGTGGACTTCCTATCCACATGGAACTGTTATGTGAATAGCGGCAGTATGGATGGAAACCACTACACAGGTGCTGTCCCCTCCTTGTTGCTATTTATAACCAATAACCAGCAGAAACCCATCAGAGATAAGCAAAACGTAATCACACAATTTTTGTGTTTTTTTTTTGTCAACAATACAAAACAGTTGGTAGACAAATTCAACTCACTAGTTCTCCATGTACTGTCCAACCGAGTCCGGCCGGATATTGTGCGTGTGCAGCTCGTAGATGATCTCCTTGTCGCTCAGCATCCGGCTGTGCGATTCCTTGGTTGGTTCAATTTTGCGAACCAACAACTTGCTGAGCCACGATTCCGACCCATCCCGGGCTAGAGCCGCCGTGGTCGAGAGTGCCCTGTAATGTTCCATAGCGATAGAAAATCATTGCAAGAAAAATTGCGCATCATTCCTTCCGAACATTGAAGAAGGAACAAAATAATGGATGAAAGTCATTACCTAACCGGTTGATGAAAGGCTTTCACCATGAGCCGAAGCGAAACAAAGGTCATCCTTTGGCTGTGTTTCGGCTAGCGATTGCAATGAAGAGGAAAACAGAGCAATTTCCAATAATATGGTATGCAGATTACGTTATCTAGTGCTAACAGTAGCAGCACTTCGATCGAGCTAATATGAATATTTTCGTAGATAATTTAACCAAAAATAAATGCAATAAAAACAACAGGATCGCACTACTTTTGCGTTTGTGGGCACGAATGAATAAGAAGACTGATAAAAACAGCCATCGCTGATTCTGCTGATTTTGACGTTTTTCCTTGGCGCCGTTCGTTTTGAAGGTTATCGTAAAGTCGAAATAGCCCGGCGCACACATTCGATACCTTTTGGAGCGCGTTCGCATCGACGTATTTTCCATCAAAGATTCAAACCGAATCGAGATCTTCCCTCCGAATGCACGGCCAATCATACTAACTCAGAGAGAGAGGCACTTTTACTCAGGTATATGAGAAATTTCTAAAAACGTAGGTCACAAAGCGCTAGAAATAAAATCATACGCTTTTAGAAAAATAGCTCACACAACTGAGGTAAAGTAACTCTTTCCCTGAGTTAAGGGCCATGTACAAGGGATACGTTGCTTTTGCGTGAACTTGACAGTAAACCCATGTAAAATTTACGTCAACGGAACGCAAACGTATCCATAATGCATGGCCCTTTAGGTTGTACGACTTTTCCCAGAATACCAGTTCCCCGAATGTACTGTTTTCCAAAAAAACTTTTCCCCGAATGTGCCCGCTGTTTTTATATTTTTGGGCTGTATAACATTTGCCAGAATCCCAATTGCCAAAAAGTCATTTCGCCAGAACGGATTATATTCCAGAAAGCCATTTACTGGAGTTGTTAGGTAACAATTGAAAATGAATTTGTTTGGGACAACTCATTTTACATAAGGTATTTGTTCCAAACAGCAATTTGCATAATAGCCATGTGTTTGAGACACTCATGATACCCAAGGCTGTGTTCCATTTGGTGAATTTTCGCTTAAATTTGACCGATGGAAAATTTCCAAATAAACCTGCTATTGTACCAGACTTATTCCTGATAGATTTGACAAACACCTTCTCGAAAATCGAACGACCAACAACAGAAGGACTTTCGAACATTATAATTTATTTTCGAAGTGTCAAATTTAAGTGAACAAGGTTGTAAACCATTTGCCGAGTTAAATTTAACTCATGGTTCAAAGTGACATTTCGAAAGTTCATTGGACAGTTCGTATACGCCACGATCAGTCAAGTTGCTTTTTACACCGTTGCTTTTTCGCGAGATTGCGAGTTATTAACAGATTGTTTATTCCTTCAGTGAGTGCGAATAGTTTGGTAAATTGACAGGAAGTCGTGTCACAGTGGGGGTTTACCCCGATAAAACCATACCGGCGAGTAAAATTGAAATAAATAGTGAACCATTATTATCGGACAAGCGTATAGAGTCGCAAAAGTGGCGACAGCCATTGCTGTCAATTGACCCATATCAGGTGATGTAGAGATCTTGCATGCAAGTTCTTATATAATCACAAGAAGATTGTGTCGTGATTTGAAGTGACGGTTGATTACATTTAATTAATTGGTTGCGAGTTATATTCTCTGTGTGGCGCGAGTGGAAGACAAAAAAAAAAAATTCGAGCAAGTGTTTCTCTCGATTTTAGCTTAATTTTCTCTAGAGTTTCATCGAAAAAGCGGTTCTGACAAACAACTTCCGTCACCGATTCCCCCTAGCCATGTCGCTGGCGTGGGACTTTCCCCCCCTCCCAGACTCCGGAGAAGGGGCAAGTAACACAATCTATGGATCATATACGGGTGCGACACTGCCGGCCTACATGGACCCACAAGGTTTGCACGGTGAAATTGTGGTGTTAAGGATGGAATCCGATACCGAATCCGGAAAACTACCGGAGCATCCTTTCTTGATTCGCTCGTCTATCGAGAAGTGGATAAAAGGAAAAATTGATGGTGCTTTCCCTGAATCTAGAGGTAAAACATACGCACTCAAAGTCCGTTCGCAGAACCAAATGAAACGCCTCCTCGCCATGGATCAGCTCTCCGATGGAACCAAGATCAGGATCACCAAGCATGCCAGTCTCAATACCACCCGTTGCGTAATCAATTGCCCAAGCATAGCAAAGGTAACCGATACCGACATTCTGTCGTATCTCAAGGATCAGAAAGTCACACAAATTCGCCGGATTACTAGGAAAGCAAGAACCGGGACCGAAAGAGAGAATACAGCTACTGTTATTCTGACAATCGATGGAACCCGCATTCCAGAACACGTTGACGTTGGGTATCTAAGGTGCAGAACCCGGCCCTATTACCCAGGACCGATGCTCTGTTTCCAATGCTTCGCTTTCGGGCACACAAGCAAACGATGTCAGCAAGCAGATAAGACATGTGGCCAATGCGCAAAAAAACACATTACTGTTCAGGGAGAAAGCTGTTCTGCCATCTCGTTCTGTCCCAGGTGTAACACGAATGATCATTCCATAGCTAGTCGGAACTGCCCGGTGTATAAGACGGAAGACGCAATACAACGTATCCGTGTTGACAAGGGAATCCCATACCCAGCGGCCAAAAGGATTTTCGAGGTGGCCACCGGAGAGAAATCCTTTGCTGGAGTCACCAACAGGAGTAAAGATTCCGATTTCGCTGACCTCTCAGCTAAATTTGACCTTCTCCTCAGCCAAATGGAGGAAAAGGACCGCAAGATTGCAGAATTGGAGGCAAAGAACCAAAGTTCTTCAACCACTAGCAAAACGGATATTGATGAACTCCGACAGATGATCGTGAACTTGCAAACCGAAGTACGACGTAAAGACGAACGTATTCAAGCCCTAGAATCAGCCCTGAAACCGGAAAGTCGGTTGAACATCATACAGAAACACGGGACCATCGAAGACTTAGTAGCCAGAGTCAAGTCTCTCGAGACCACCGTATCCCAAAAAGATAAGGAGGTTGCCAATCTTCGCCTTGTTAATCAGCAGTATAAAAAGCTCATCACAAATACCAGCTCAAAACTCCCGACACCATCTGTCCCAAAAGAGAACACCAAACAGGAGCAACAACAACAAAAATCCCAACATACACCACACGAAAAACCCTCTGGAACGAAGAAGAAGCAAAATAAACAGACAAGCGACGAAGTAGACTCAAAACGGTCAAAAACACTGGCATACATCTCTGATACTGAAATTGAACTCGACCCTTCGCCATCTGTAGAAAAGGTTGTCGACAACGAGCTTATCTCCTCGGAAGACGAGGTGATGTCCACCGAGGACAACTCAACTCCAATGGAAGACTAGACCTCCACAACCCAGTCCGTCTTACCTGATCAACCGGAAAAGAATTCCCATAACAATCAACATGCACTTTACATCTACACCACCCTCTACTGAGGCTAGAAACAATCAGGAAACAAAGCGGACTGCATCTATCTCAATCACCACAAACATTACAACGACATTGAAAACACCGGATAAGGCCTCGGGTAGTCGGGGCCCTGTCAGTGCGGACGCTATGGACCAACCGGAACTGGCAGACACCCCCCGACACTCGTTGGCAAACTCCGACGAGCACCGGAATTTCATCATCTCGGCCGTGTCACGGAGCAGTCGAGGCCCCCTCGATGCGGAAGTCATTATCCCACCGGAATCGACGGACAACCCTCGTCACCCTGTGACCGCCGGAAGAGGGACGGAAAAAGGAGGACACTCCTATCCCCCTTGGGACAGCGTGGGACCAAAGGCAACCGTAATGAATAAGGACGACGAGGGATTCAAGAAGGACAAGCTGCACAACGTCAAAAATTGTGGAAATAATGGGTCGAGTGATAACATCACATTCCCCCAACGAAGCATAAACGATGATCCCAAGGAAGATGAGAATAGCATGGAATGAGAAAGGACCAGTGGGTCGCGTGATAACTTCACTCTCCCCCACGTGGAATCCGAAAAGGCTCAAGTCGGCAGGCTGAGTGACATAAATACACCCCGAACATTTGAAACACCGCTGCATGAATTAAGTAACATGAGAGATATTCCCAAACAAGCACTATCAAATGCCCGCGAGTACGATAAATGGCGAACCCGGATTGGAGGGAGTCCCCTTCCGATCGCTGGTTCCTCATCTAGTCCGTCCTTCGTATCGATGGCTCAGACGATTTTGCCAGCAGCGGGGCCAGTTCTGGCTGCTTCTGTTGGTGGGGTCCACCATTCTCCCCTCAACACTGATAAACATCCACACATCTGAACCCAATCGATTCCATGCCAAGTCAGTCATTGGACCCGGACAAACGTCGCGGGTCACTACTGGTGAAGAACGACCTATGACCGTCGGTCCGTTATCCAGATATCCATTCCTTTCGGTGACCCAGACAACTCTACCGGAAGCGGAAACAATCCTGACAACGTCTACCGTTGATGAATTGCTGGAGTCCATCTCTAGCTCTCCAACCTCGACATGCTCCAATGCTGCCAGCTCCAAACGGCTCCACACCAGACAAGCGCAACTGCCCTCACTGTCCACTAGTCCTATCGGCCCTGGTAGACCCCGCAGCACTACTTTAGCGATCCAATGGAACATGAACGGATTTTTTAACAATCTTGGGGACTTAGAAGTTCTGGTTCATAATATCTCACCCAGGATTCTGGCTCTCCAGGAGACCCACAGAGTCAACATAATGCAGCTAGACCGCACACTTGCAGGCAAATACCGGTGGATCAACAATTGCAGTCAAAGCAATATTTATCACTCGGTTGCCCTCGGAATTGCTGATGGCATTCCGTTCATCCCTATCGACCTTAATACCGACCTCCCAATCGTAGGAGCCAAATTGGAATCCCCATTCCCGGTCTCAGTCATCAACCTATACCTACCAAACGGGAAAATCCCGGACCTTCTACACAAACTTCAACGATTTTTGGCCCCAATTGATGGCCCTCTTATACTCCTCGGCGATATCAATGGGCACCACCCATCTTGGGGGAGCTCTAAAGCAAACCTCCGTGGTGCTACCATAGCGGAACTCATCGAGTCCCTCGACTTAGTGACCCTCAACGACGGATCGAACACCTTCGTCCGTGGCCAGTGCGAAACAGCGATCGACATCTCTGCAGCCAGCCCAGCCATTACCGGGCGCCTCCTCTGGAAAACTCTGGATGATCCAGCAGGGAGTGACCACTATCCTATCATCATCTTGTTAGGGGGAGAACCTCCAGAGACCTCAAGGCGTCCCAGGTGGCTCTACGATCAAGCTAACTGGGAACTCTTCAACGCTACCGTGACTCAAGCACACATCGACCATCCAGTGGCAAGCATTGAAGAACTCATGGAGATCATTTCTGAGGCCGCAAAAATCTCCATTCCAAAGACCAGTTCAAACCCCGGCCGGAAACCCTTACACTGGTGGTGTCCAGAAGCAAAGTCTGCCATTAAAGCGAGAAGAAAAGCTCTTCGTGCAGCCAAACGCCTACCCATGAATCACCCAGACAAGGAACGAGCTACCGAGCTCTACCGCTCCAAGCGAAATGAATGCCGGCAAATCATCAGGGATGCTAAGAAAAGTAGCTGGGAAGAATTTTTGGAGGGGATCAACCCCAACCAAGCGGTGTCAGAGCTGTGGAGTCGAGTCAACGCCCTCAAAGGAAAGAGAAAGGCCAGAGGGATGGCCCTTCGTCTCCAAAGTGGGCTCACACGAGACCCACAAACCATCGCCAACGAATTAGCAGAATACTTCGCTTCACTTTCGGCCATTAATCGTTACGACACGGCGTTCATACAAAAAAACCATGCGTCCACACAGAGTATTCGTGACATTGCCATCCCGGAGGACCCAATGCCAACAAATATAAACGCTCCCTTTCGGTTCGAAGAACTTAATCTAGCATTATCCCGTAGCAAAAGTAAATCTGCTGGTCCAGACGACATCGGATATCCCATGCTGCAACACCTCCCACCCAACACCAAAATCGAACTGCTAAATCTAATAAACAAAATTTGGTCGGACAACACCCTGCCTAAAGAATGGACTCACAGCCTAGTAGTCCCCATACCAAAGCAGGGACAAGCTGCTTCAACACCGGAAAATTTCCGTCCGATTTCACTGACGTGCTGTACCAGCAAAGTCATGGAACGGATGGTCAATCGCCGACTAATACGGTTCCTTGAAGACAACAACCATCTCGATCACCGACAGCATGCGTTCAGACCCGGCCACGGGACCGGAACGTACTTTACCGGCCTGGGAGACGTACTTCAGGAAGCGATGGAGGAGGAACTCCACATCGACATAGCGGCCTTGGATCTAGCCAAGGCATATAACCGCGCATGGACCCCTCAGGTCATAAAACAATTGGTTGACTGGGGTCTAAGTGGCCATATCCTTCACTTCGTTAAAAACTTCCTTTGTTGTAGAACTTTTCAGGTTCTGATTGGAAACCACCGCTCCTCACCCCAAACGGAAGAGACTGGAGTCCCACAGGGCTCCGTCATTGCGGTCACCATCTTCTTGGTTGCAATGAATGGTGTCTTTAGTGACCTGCCAAAAGGAATATTCATCTTTGTATATGCAGACGACATCGTTCTGCTAGCTATCGGACGCACCCTCAAAGCATTGCGAAGAAAATTGCAAGCTGCTGTATCAGCCATCTCAAGATGGGCCTCCAAGGCCGGCTTCGTACTGTCCCCAGAAAAGAGCATGGTTTCCCATCTATGCCGCTCCCGCCATCGGCCGATACCAACGAACATCTTAGCGAACAACATTCCGATACCCAACAAAAAGACCATTCAGGTTCTCGGAGTGCGCCTGGACCGAGAGCTGAGGTTCAACGCACACTTTACTGACACTAAAGCCAATTGCCGTACGCGACTAAACCTCCTGCGAACACTCTTAAAACCACACCACAGCAGCAACAGAGAGATCCTACTAAAGGTAGCCAAGGCCACCGTAAACAGTAGACTATTTTATGGGATTGAACTAACCTGCCTCTCCAAAGACTCTCTAACCACGCATCTAGCCCCAACCTACAACAAGGCCATCCGGATCGTCGCAGGTCTTCTGCCCTCTACACCCGCTGAATCGGCATGCGTTGAACTTGGTGTACTGCCGTTCCAATATCAAATCGCCGAAACGCTGAGCTGCAGAACATCCAGTTACCTAGAAAAGACCACTGGGAACCACGAGGTCTTTCTCCTCAGAGAGGGGAATAGAGCCCTAGGAAGCCTGGTCCATCAGGAACTCCCATCCGTGTCCAGGTTACACTGGATTGGAGCCAGAGGATGGACAGAACCAACCCTACATGTTGACCTTTCGATTGCCAAGCACTTTAAGGCAGGGAACAACTCTCACGCTATGCACAGCCACCTAGCGGAGTTACTCAGAACTAAGTATGCCAAGTTTCAACACCGCTTCACGGACGGCTCCAAGGCTGCGGGAAAAGTAGGATACGGAGTAGCAGATACGTTCAACAGTTTATTCTTTCGACTTCCCGATCAATGCTCCGTCTTCTCGGCGGAGGCCGCGGCCATCTATTTAGCCATCACTACGCCCTCCGATAAACCCATTTGCGTTCTAACAGATTCTGCCAGCGTTTTATGTGCCTTGAATTCAGCAACATCAAAACATCCCTGGATCCAAGGCATACAAAAGACCGCACCACCGAACACCTCATTTGTCTGGGTACCTGGCCATTGTGGTATAGGCGGTAACTGCGAAGCAGACCATCTCGCCGCCACTGGGCGCACCGGCCGGATGACTACCACATCTGTTCCCAGTTCAGATATAAAAACATGGGTGAAAACGACCCTTCGAGACGCCTGGTACCAAGAGTGGGTTACAAAAAGGGGACCTTTCTTAAGAAAAATAAAGGACGACATATTCAAATGGAAGGACACTACGAGTCGACGGGAACAACAGATCCTATCTCGGCTCCGATCTGGACACACCCGAGTAACCCATAATATGGGCAGCGCTACATCTTTTCAGAAGTATTGCGACACCTGCAACACTATAATGACTGTCGAACACCTGATCGTTAACTGTCCCTGCTTCCAGAACATCCGGGTCCACAACGGAATCCCGGACAACATACGCAATGCCCTGTCTAACGACCCATCCACGGAAGCTGCTCTAATAACCTTTCTTAAAGATGCTGGATTGTTCGATAAAATTTAATCACCGACCCCCTATACAAAATAACAACGCACCGAACACGGACCCGATTGACTCTAGACTGGATACCACACAACGATTATCTGATTACCCTTCACAACGACCATCCCTTTTATGAACCGCCAATCACGCTGAACAACCACAAAACACAAACGTTAACAAACTCTGTAAAAACCACTATGTACCAAGGGAACACCCTAAGCACATCTATACCCAGGAGAACCCCCTCAGGGTTCACCGAAAAAATCTAAACCACGTTACTCGGGGAGCCCACTTCAGGGTCTCTCGGAGATGAACCAGCCTACGGCTGAAAATCTCCTAAATAAAGAAAGAAAAAAAAAAAAAAAAAAAAAATCGAAAGTTATAATGTTCGAAAATCCCTGTGCTGTCGATCGACCGGTTTTAGAGAAAAACTCAGCCACAGTTGTCGAAATTTAACTTCTTGTCTGTCAGAAGTAACCACGCTCGGATAGCAGGGTTAATCGATAGCTTTCCATCTGTCAAATTTGTACCAACAGTTAAAATAATCCACCAAATGGAACACAGCCCAAGAACTCAGGTGGGTGCAGAAAACCAAGTACATAAACAGACATAATAAATAATTCTAAACTCAAAATAAGGATTTTGTTCGGAAAAAAGAATAACTACATTCCCCATAGAATTCAATGACTATATTAAATTCCATCGACCAAGCTAGTTACACACTTTGGTCCAAAGTTCGCTGAATCCTCCGTCGGATAATGCCTTTCACGTTGGCATCCACGTTGGCGAGGGGATTGTTTGTCCTGGCAGAATACTCCACTCGTTGAACTGCACCGATTTCCGCTTGATTGGATACGATATTCGTTACCAGACAATCGTTTCTGCTTCCAACTCGCCCTATCCGGCCAATGCGATGAATGTAATCTGCAGCATACAACGGAAAATCAAAATTGATCACGTGGCCTGCCCGGGTCGTATCCAATCCCCGACTAGCGACGTCGGTCGTCGACAGGACATTCACTTCCCCTAGTTGGAACTTTTCAAACTGTCCTAGCCGAATTTTGAGCAGCATGTCACCGTTTAAATTCACACAGGGAATGCCTGCTTCATTCAGATGTATCGACACAAAATCACAGGCAGGTGTTTTGTTGCTGAATATGATCAATGGGCGATTCCGCTTTACATCCTTCTTCACCAGATCCAACAGGACTTGTGGTCGATTAGATTTCTTGATCCGCATGAATCGCTGCGTAACGTGCGACAACAGTCGGTGCAAATTTGGACTAACCACTTCTTCGATCGTTTCAACATTCACTATCCGGCCCAACAGCTCGTCCATGTTGGAGGGCATCGTCGCAGCAGCTAGAATCAGCTGCGTCCCTTGAATGTTGTCGCCGATGTCCTGTAGATGGTTTTTATGAAACGGAAATCGTTTCATCAAATGCAAAAGCTTTGCGTTGAAACTATCATCTAGAAGTGTGTCTGCCTCGTCCAAAACCACCCAACGCACAGCATCTGTTCTGTAGATCCCACTCGATATAAGCTTACTGATCGCCCCAAAGCTGGACACCAGAATGTCGATATCCTCGAAATGAGGATTCGTCATTTGCTGTCTGGTACGACCTCCCAACAGTACGCGTGACTTTATGTTCAATCCCCGAGTCAGCCCTTCAACGACTCGTCCAATCTGCTGTGCCAGCTCTCTTCCCGGGGTGAGCACCAGCACTAAAGGTGTGTTGAATTCTCTCTCGCCTCCATCAAGCTTCCTCCTTAAAATTTGCTCTATTATAGGCACTAAATATGTGTAAGTCTTACCACAACCAGTCTCCGCCGCTAACAGTGCATGACCTCCGTTCAAAACCGCTGGAATACCATCTGCCTGATACATGGTTGGATAAAGGGCACCACGCTCTCGTAAGTTCTCCACCAACTCAGCACGGATGCCGAGATTCTGGAATGATACATCACTCAAGGCGTGCGTCTCGAATGGCTGCTGAATCGGATGAATGATGAAATAATCGCCTACAGATTTCCGGTGTCGCCAACCATCGGATGCTAGAGGTACATCACCGAATTTCTTACCTCCACCGGCAAGTTGACCGTCCTCCACAAACAGATTGTGCTCGGTTCGCTTGCATGTGATTATTGGCTTCCGAGCTGTGCTCGCTGCTAGCCTCGGAACAGTAGATAAACTTGCCCGAGTGCTGAGTAACACGTTTATAGTTTTTAACATGGTCAATTTGTGGTAATTCGTGAATAATAATATTACGTACGATAACACTCCGCAGGAGAAAATGCGCGTGCCGTTTTTATTTTTTCAATAAAAGCAAGGGTTTTCGTGTTTGTTTTGTTTCTCCTTCGTCTATCCTTTGACATTGTGATAAAAGTTAGCCCTTTGTATAATGATGAGCAGAAGCACGCTCACGTAATTTCACCTAAAGCCCTACATTAAAAGTATGGACGCGACTGTAACAATAAAAGAGAAAAAAGCCCGGGAGGAGGTGGCTGCCCGCATAAACGCGAACCATAAATTGACCTTACCTAAAATGGTTAAAAATTGTTTATAATCCCTGCTAAACTTTAACTGAAATGGTTATGGAACTTTACATGAACGTTTAATGATAAAGTTTCAACCTTATGTATTATGGTTTTTTGGAACTGGACCTTACAAATAATGGGTTGTTAAGAACCATTACCGTTCCAAATTCTTGTTTTCTCCATACATTTTCGGAAAAAGAACTATATTAGAACCTTTTAACTTATGGTTTGAGAACTTTAATGGTAATGATTATGGTAGTCAGTAAAGTCCACGAATGGTTTTGTAACATCGATCAACTTTATGTGGAATATATCGCGAATTGGTTGCCTGTAATTTACTGATTACCAATTCACGATATATTCCACGTAAAGTTGAGCGATAATACAAAACCATTAATGGACCTTACTGACTACCATAATCATTACCATTAATGTTCTCAAATCATAAGTAAAAACGTTCTTATATAGTTCTCTTTCTGAAAATGTATGGAGAAAACAAGAATTTGGAATGGTAATGGTTCTTAACAACCCATTATTTGTAAGGTCCAGTTCCAAAAAACCATAATACATAAGGTTGAAATTTTATCATTAAACGTTCATGTAAAGTTCCATAACCATTTCAGTTAAAGTTTAGCAGGGATTATAAACAATTTTTAACCATTTTAGGTAAGGTCAATTTATGGTTCGCGTTTATGCGGGTGCCATATACGAATAATCGTCGCCTACCTCGCATAACTGGTTCCAAACGTATACAAGCCATAAAAAACCTACAGCGTTTGTTTACGTTTGGAACCAGTTTCATACAAGATGATCAGTAGGCTGATTTGACAGCACATCCCCCCCCAGGCAGAAGCACGCTCACGTAATTTCTCACGTCACTTTTCAAATCGACCAATGTAACAAATGTAAACAAACCGAGTTAAGCTATACAAACTGTTGCTCTTCTTTCATTGTATGTCATACAAAAACATCCATCCAAATTTACTTTCATTTATTTAAGATAATCATAGGTAAAAAATTGTCCAATGTACAGTTTGAAATGATGGGTACATGATTGTTACTTCGGTCATTCGGACTGCCCAACATGATTGGTGCTCATTTTTCAAAGGCGGGGCCAATCTAAAGTTAGGTACTATACTCTGAAATCTGTGAAAGGGAATCTAGTATCATGTAGACAAAACGTCCAATGTAACACTCATTGATTATGTCATTGAGAAAAATCGTCCAATGTAACATGTCCGATGTACAACTCTACTTGTCAAAACGTCCTATGTGGTTTTTTCTATGTTGTAGCATGAAATTCAAAGTAAAATTATGATTTTACCGTTTCTTCTGAATTTTCAACTTTATTATACACTGGCTACATTAAAAATAGTATTGCAAAATGTATTGTTTTTAAACAGTTAAATTAATAATCTGTCGCACTTCAACTTCGATTTTCTCAAAATGGTGGATATGTTACATTGGTCTATTTGAAAAGTGACGCGAGATTTCACCTAAAGCCCTACAGTAAAAGTATGGACGCGACTGTCACAATAAAAGAGAAAAAAGCACGGGGGGAGGTGGCTGTCATATACGAATAATCGTCGCCTACATCGCATAACTGGTTCCAAACGTAAACAAGCCATAAAAAACCTACAGCGTTTGTTTACGTTTGGAACCAGTTTCATACAAGAATGATCAGTAGGCTGATTTGACAGCACGTCCCCCCCAGGAAAAAAGCTGTTCCAATCTCGGTTCCAATCGAGCAAAGTGGTCCATTTTGACGGTTCGATTGGAACAACTTTTGACAGACGTCCATACTTTTACCAAAGATGAATACTAAGATGAAACTGTCGGAAGAAAAACTTTCTATTTTAGTGTCCTCTTTCACGGTCCCTTTCATCCAATGAATACCCCCCGTATTCAAGGTAATTTTGTGGTTTTGCTGCCCCTTCAGTAGAGATGAAATTTTGCGCTCATTTTTATCAAAACAATCACACCAAAATCAGAGATGTCCCATTTTTTAATTACTCGACTAACAACTAAACGATTTTTTTTGTTCGCTGTGCTGCCATTTTTCCACCAATGAGAGTGCAGCACATGTATGAAACGATCGGTGATGACCCTCTGGAGATGTTAATGCTTATATCGGCATGATATAACCGATTACAAATATTTTACTTTTCGGTTCGTTAATCGATTAATCGATTATTCGAATTAAAGTCGGCCATCCCTAGATGAATGTGAAACGTCATTTCAAATATAAGGACCGTCATAAATAATGATACAATTTGAAAGGGACCGGGGCTAATCACAAATTACGTCCCCACGGTAACTGAAACAAACACGAGTGTTCACCGGTTGCTTTTACTGTAGGGCTTTAATTTCACACTTTTGGTAAATAGGTTTAATTAAAGAGCATGAATTTAAAAAGAGGCGACATCTTATCCATTTGACAGGTCTTCTGCTCGTTTGGAATTACTTTTCCTATGACTTTGACAGACAATCGATTGTTCCAATTTTGACATGTCGTCTCTTTATAAATGCAGGCTATTTAGGTTTAATATTCCCTGAACGAAAATATTTTCAAGGTTTCTATACAGGAGGTTGATCAGTTGATTCATCACCTGGTAATAATTGTTTGATTAGCTTTTATTTCTACTACTCCCACTATTAGTACGTTCAGACTACAGAGTTATAACATGTTATAACGGTTGTCAAATAGTTGCAACACAGAAACCACCCTCAAGATAGCGCTATAACATGTTATAACTCCGTAGTCTGAACAAGGCATATTCCATCAAACTTTAACGCTGTCCAGACTGGAGAGTTATAACATGTTATAACGGTTTTCAAATAATTGCAAACAGAAACCACCATCAAGATAGCGATAACATATTATAACTCTGTAGTCTGAACTAGAAATACTCAGAGGGAGGGATAAGCGGAAGGAATGTTTTGAGCCAAATGAACTGTCAAAATATGAGCTAATCGAACATTCCCAATAATTTTTCCGAGGATTTCTTACTCTTACTAGATTAATTAATAACCTTAATGTTTCGTGTGCTTCTCAAATTCAACTAGGTTTTTGAATAAAAAACAATATTCTAACTCTATTGATTAATTGATCTTAGTTGGTTAAATAATAGCACCAAGAAATTTGCAAAATATTCCCGCATAAACGCGAACCATAAATTGACCTTACCTAAAATGGTTAAAAATTGTTTATAATCCCTACTAAACTTCAACTGAAATGGTTATGGAACTTTACATGAACGTTTAATGATAAAGTTTCAACCTTATGTATTATGGTTTTTTGGAACTGGACCTTACAAATAATGGGTTGTTAAGAACCATTACCGTTCCAAATTCTTGTTTTCTCCATACATTTTCGGAAAGAGAACTATATTAGAACCTTTTAACTTATGGTTTGAGAACTTTAATGGTAATGGTTATGGTAGTCAGTAAGGTCCACAAATGGTTTTGTAACATCGATCAATTTTATGTGGAATATATCGCGATAATTTACTGATTACCAATTCACGGTATATTCCACGTAAAGTTGAGCGATAATACAAAACCATTAATGGACTTTACTGACTACCATAACCATTACCATTAATGTTCTCAAATCATAAGTAAAAACGTTCTTATATAGTTCTCTTTCTGAAAATGTATGGAGAAAACAAGAATTTGGAATGGTAATGGTTCTTAACAACCCATTATTTGTAAGGTCCATTTCCAAAAAACCATAATACATAAGGTTGAAACTTTATCATTAAACGTTCATGTAAAGTTCCATAACCATTTCAGTTAAAGTTTAGCAGGGATTATAAACAATTTTTAACCATTTCTTGGTAAGGTCAATTTATGGTTCGCGTTTATGCGGGTTGTCATGCACTCAATCTAGTCTGAACGTACTATTAAGTACAACCAAAGATAAATACTAAGATGAAACTGTCGGGAGAAAAACTTTCTATTTTAGTGTCCTCTTTCACGGTCCCTTTCATCAAATGAATACCCCCGTATTCAAAGTAATTTTCTGGTTTTGCTGCCCCCTCGGTAGAGATGAAATTTTGCGCTCATTTTTATCAAAAGAAACACACCAAAATCAGAGGTGTCCCATTTTTTAATTACTCGATTAACAACTAATCAATTTTTTTTGTTCGCTGTACTGCCATTTTTCCACCACATGTTTGAAACGATCGGTGATGATCCTCTGGAGAAGTTAATGCTTATATCGGCATGATATAACCGATTACAAATATTTTACTTTTCGGTTCGTTAATCGATAAATCGATAATTCGAACGAAAATCGGCCATCACTAGATGAATGTGCAACGTCATTTCAAATATATGGACCGTACATAAATAATGATACAATTTGAAAGGGACCGGGGCTCATCACAAATTACTTCCACACAGTAACTGAAATAAACATGAGTGTTCACCGGTTGGTACAACCATAAATTATGTTGTATGTTCCGAGGTATGTACCAAATTTCAATAGAAGATAACATGCAATTGCGATAATTAAAATAGTGTTTTTGATCATCGTTTGTTGTTGAGATTTTCAGTTCATTGATTGTAACAAATGGATGGCAGGGTAGGGATTGTGAACACAAGATTTGGAGAGCAATGTGCTCTTGATCTCGAACTAAGCGACACTCTGATGAAAAAGACAAACATGGGGGTACACCGATGGGCAGCTAACAACTTGGGAGAACACATGATGACACTAACTACTAAATCCTCAGATCTATCCGTTCTACTGCGT